TACGACTCACGACTTTACGACTCGCATTGTAGACAGCATAACAAGTGGTAACAAGTGTAAACCGGAAATAGCGGTCAAGGTAGTAGGGGACCGACCGGGACTATGTCATGTTTTCCAAGATGGGCGACTTTATCTTAAAAAGGCGTGCCTACGTGACAGGGACGCGTTATCGTCCGCATATTGCCCAACACGTAATTCACATTAGTGCCCATCTAAATAGGTGTTAAGCCCTAAGTCCTAAAAATTGACCAATCACAGTCAATTATATTCTCTTCAAATTCAATTGTGATTGAACAATTTCTTAAAAGGCCTAGGGCTTAAAACACCTATTGTAGATGGGCACTTGGGCTCATTGAGAGAAATGATTGAGCGATTAACGCATCGTGACGTGGCAAACCGATCCAACTGAACAGATAGCAAAAGATAACTGTGTTGCGCAATGTTGCGAAATACAAGGCGAGGGGATACGAAATTGGGGGAATCGGCCGAATCGGTGCGGCGAAAGGCGTGTTGTCATTTATCGCCGGTAGTCGTGCGCGACGTTACGCGATAAAACGAGGCGAGTCGCGTGCCGGTGGCTTCACGTGAACAGATGCAAGCGGACAGCGGACCATGATTGCATGCGGACGCAATATCTGCCGAGTGGCGTCGCCAACAGTTTTGCGGGGAAACGGGACGAGCGCGAAGCACGCCGTGGCCGACGTTCTGACGGAGCGCGTGCCCTTCTCGAGGGATTTCCTGTTTCGCCAGGTGAGTAATACTCGGCCCGAAAGGTAACCGGCGCATGTCCCAGGAATACGCGGCTTGGACGCCAACGTCATCTGACGAGCGGCAGCGACGATATGTGCGACTCTTTAAGTTTATTAAAGCGTAATTTGTAGCTCGATTGTATGTACATTTAAGATCGTTTTAAATCTGCTCTTAAAATTCCATCCGGCTTAATAGAATGACCGAAAAGAGCATACTTGAAACGATCTTGAATGTAGCATCGAATTATAAATGCCAATCTTAGTCGCATCTTTCAAAATTGTAAGGGTAAAAAACTTCGGCTTAATCAGCAAAATTCTGCTCAAATTTCTAATTATACAATATATAATTTTTTGTCCCTAATCTAATAATCCTTTTCCATATAAATAATAAGATAATTAATAAAAAAATAAATATAAGTTAAATATAATAAAAAATTACAATTCTCTATCTCTTTTTAAAATAATTCAAGTGTTGTTACTTGATAAGATAATCACCGATTAAATTAATTAAAGTTTGGTTGAATTTATCCTACAAAGATATCTTATTTAATTCGAAAATTTTTACACTCGTTTCTTCTTTTTCATCAAATTTTTAATCCATAATATATGTTAAAATCCTTTTTATTTCAATCTTGGAATATCGCTTTGGAAAACAATCTTAATCGGGGAAAATAAATCCAAGAAAATTCGATCCTTTAATATCTTTATATTAATTATCTCTTTGTATATCTTTGTATATTTAAAATTTTGAGGGAAAAAGAAGAAACGCAAAAAAAGTACGAGGAACATGTTTGGAAAGTATAGAAAAGTGCATTTTTCAAAAGATCTAAGATCCGTTTTTTGTAATATTTTAAATAAAATGAATGTATACTCAATATTTCGAAAAAGACAAAAAAAAAGAAAATATTTTAAGATGGTATAGAAATATCAATTTAAAAAAAACGTGCCAGAACTCTGTTTCCTTTCCTCTGCGTTTGTAAAATAAATAAAACAAAGCGGCTTCGCGTCTCGGATTTTGAGGGATAAAAGAAAGGATTGCAGGAAAATATGTATTGAAAAGCGCGTAGGGAGAGCGTTGGCATTCACGTTCGCCTTTGAAAGGATATTCGGAATAACCTTGAAAACACGTCGAACTTTACATCCGTCGGTTTACTCGGTTTGTAAAAATTTTGATGTAGAAAGTTTCTCCGGCTGACTGGAACGTCCCAAGAGAGGATATTTTTTCACAAATATGGAACAAATTTTTCTTCTTAACAAAAATGTCGAGGGCTTCTTCGTAACTTTGTAATTCTGTTACTCCTTCTACATGCTATCAGCTATATACAATACCCAACGAATTTGTTTTAAGCAAACTAATACACTCTTTTTTTTTAACTCGCCGTTATTACCGCATGAGTAGTTTCGATGTCGTGTTCTTTATAATCTGCGTTGTTTCTATAATACTCTGTATTGTTCAACCGTAACTGCGTGTTTTTTTTTTTTCTATGGAGCTTTTTCCGTTTACAATTTCAACAGACGTTTGAAACGGTTCGAACGGAAATTTGATTTACCGGTCGAAAGGTAATCGGTTTTGAGTTTATAACTTGACGTATGGAATGCGAAATATTTGCCATTGTTTTTACGGCTTTTACATCGGTTAGCTTGCGTAGACGTAACAAGATTATATGGCAGCAAAATGTAACATTAAAGTGATGAGTTACGACGTGTGCAGGGGCGGGGCCGCCTGCTTGGAAATGACCGAATGAATGAATTTAATTCGTTAATAAATTCGTTTCCACGATGAATATACAGAGGAACGACTGTATATCGATATAACAAAGAAACTGTGAAAATATTCCGCCGTTATATTTTTTCGTTCATATTTGGATTTGTACTCGAAGTAAAATACGTTTTGTTTTCCAATAGGCTTCAAATCAGAATCGGATGAAAACGTAGATGAAATCTGACTGGGAACAAAAATTATTACACGTCCGAATAATATCCCTAAAAACGGGTCACAACTGACAGGATTAGTGAATGTTGCGTGTTAACATTGGAAAGAAAAAATGCAGAAAAACATTTTGTTTTTTGTTTGCGCTTCGTGAAAATGGTTTCGCGCAGTCTAGTGTATTTTCAAAGAATTATATTTCCTGCCGTCCTCCAGCCTCCTGCACGTCACACACAAATCGGAGGGTCGATGCAATTAAACATGCGATAGGATTCAAAATATACAAATCATTGTTAAACGTTGCGAAATGTGAATGAGTTTGTTTGCCGGCGACTGATTATTTTATCTCTGTCGTATTTTTATTTTAGTTCGTTCAGAATCGAAATACATGTGCGGTAAATATATATTACTGATAGCGCGAAGTCTTTTCATAATCTCCTTCGTGACTTTGTTATCGTGTATGACGTTATATGTCGTATATGGATACATTTACATCATCTCCTTGTGGACATCATGTTACATCATCTATTTGCTTTTTTCAGCGTTTTAATGTATGCATCATACATATTTACGGTCTTATTTGTAATAACGTAATTATAATGACACAATTACGAGAGTGATTATATAATTATTAAAACAAGAATAATATGTTATTTATGTATAATATATTATTCTTGTTTTAGTAATAATAATATCATTCTCGTGATTGTGTCTTTATAATTACATTATGGATAATGTAATTTTATTTCCGTATATAATTTGTTAAAAAGTAATGGATAACTGTGTTTAAAAATCTGTCCAGTTTTTCGACCCGATATCGAGTACGTACACATATCTGCTGGCCGATGTCAACGATAAGGAAGCAATTTTGATTGATCCGGTCATCGAATGGGTCGATCGTGACAAAACAATCGTCGAGGAGCTGGGATTAAAGCTGAAATACGCCCGTGAGTTGCCAACCGGACGTATAGATCATTATCTTGCCCGTAAATTTCGCGGTTTGTGAAAAATAGCGGTAGATCGACGCGTGAGAAAAACATGCGGGAATGCCATTCAGTTTTTCCAGTATCATTCGACATTATTTAGTCGGGATTGTGTGCTCTGCGTGATACATTCCAGCTAGATTACACGTGGAGTTTACCATGTATATATTTGAAACAAATTCGAATTTTTGCGAAGCAGTAGCGCGTTAAAACAGTATCATGTCGACATTTACAATCGCTGTTAGCTTAAACTGCGAAATTCGATTTACGCCGAATATAGACCATTGTTGAATTCGAATAGAAGCGTCTTACACGCGTCAGTCATCCTGTCTATGCCTGTCATATAATTTTAGGGAGGTATATTTAATTGATGTGTTATATGTTATAAATAATGCGAGAAAAAATATCCTCGCGTTTCCTTCCGAACTTCAATTTGTGCCACTTTTATGATATAATATACATACAATTTTTTGGAGAAAGTTTTACCGAAGAACTATTATTAAACTAGTATAAGAAATATCGGTTCAAATTCGCGAAAACACGTTGCCTCAACTACGTGTGTGAAATTTTGGGAAAACTTTCTGGAAATATTTAGCTTTTACATATCGACGTTTATTGCTCTTTTAGCTTTTACAACTTGCGAAGCGCCAAATCAATATCGCTAGCCACTTCCACCTTCCATGGCATGCACAACGTTATGGGTAATAGGATTTTTCCAATTTTCTGCCCTTTTTTTATTTCGCAAGATCTGGCTTGAACGTTCAAAAACATTTCTCAACCATATCGATCGACGCATATAGTTAATAAAAGTTATCTCGATACGTGATTATTAGGCCGTTATTTTTGCATTATCGTTGCACGAAATGAATCATCCTGTGGGTGCAGAGGCTTAACATTTATATTGACGTACATTGCACCCATAAAATACCCGAATCGATAACTAATTAATTACGTACACTAATTAACAACAAAACGTATTATCTTACCGGCGCCGTTACTCGATATCGTCGGAAATGTACTTGTCGGCAATTAAGTACGCGATGCTCCGAGCCGTGATTTACGAGCCGAGGGCGCAGGAGTTATATCGCGAAAACTATCCTACTAACCGACCAATATTTGCCGAACTTCGTAATGAATTAGCATGCAATCCCGCCGCCGCTAAGAACGGTCGTGAACCCCTCCGCATAGTTTCGCCATTGTCCTGAGGGTTAACACGCCCGTGGACCATAAACCCGGTGAGAGTGGTGCGCTTGGGCATATTGTCGAACTTCGCCAATTTCGATAAAGAACTTCGACTTCGGGGCACGAGCCGATGCGATTTCGCGGCCGCTGTATAATTCTCACGAGTGTATCGCGACGACGAGAGCGTTATTTCGACAAATCGTGCTTATCGTGCGTGAGAACGGATCTGCATGGAAATTAATTAATTGTAAGTTTAACCCTTGATTAAAAGTTTGACTGACTAATCAGCGGTAATGGCTGTTGAAGCAATGCCGCGCAAACGTCTACTGTTCAAAATATTATATAAGAAAGGAAGTATATATATAAAAAAGGTAATTTCGAAATATATTAGGCGCAGGTATCAAAATAATGTAACATAAATATTATTGCAGAAATATTTCTATAAAGTTTCAGAAAATAGATAAAAATTTGATATACTTGCCAATTAATTAATTAATTACACATATATTTTATACGTATTAAATATCTTTAAAAGGTTAAAATGCATTATTCAAATTTAAGTAAATTGTAAATTAATTTATATAAGAAGATATATTTGTGTTCTTTTTCTCTCCTTTTTTTAAACCCCTCGACTTCTAATTGTTAATTTCAGAGTCGAGATAAATCAACATCCGCCCTTACTTGCGCAGCATTAGCTTTTTCGAAATTTGCGCCCTTAATGACTCAAGGGATTTTCGGTTCGGCGAGAAGGGACAAAGTTTGCGGCGTCGTATATCACGATGAAAAAGGGTTGATAGGATTACCTTATTACTTATTGCGTTATCAGACCGCGAAGTGGTTTTTGCGAGGGATCGCTTTGGCTAAGTGGAACGTATGCACTTGTTTATGCGGAACTCTGCGTGTGCCAATTCTGTCCCGAACAAACGGACATTTCCATAATGCACCTCTCTCTGTTTTCCGATAATGCAAACGCCATTAATGCCGCCCCTCCCCCCTCCCCCCCTTCCCGTAAAACTATATGCGCATTATTTGTAACTCACAGTTCCACAAAGAGAGCGAGGCCGCTAATTAGATTAATAGATTTAACGTAATTTAATTATCCATTAAAGCTAAATTATATATATCCGCGTACATTTATACGTGTATAGATATTTTAGAAGCGACGGTACAAGCGATATTCCAGAACTTCCGACATTAATTTCAGACTTTTTAATCAACGTCGAAGTACCAACTGTGTTCGCCGAAACTTTTTAAACGTCAGTATTAAATGTCTTTAAAAGATTAATCCTGTCATTCTATATGATGGGATTTATCTTTAAGATTTATCATTTGTCAGATCTACGTCGTCGTTGATCGACAGGATCCTTCGTAAAATCTTTATTAATGAATAATTCCGTCACTATACTGTCTCTACACTGGGACAATCGTATTCCATTTCTTGACTCCACGATGTTCTGTAACGGAAACGTGATAAAACGACGTGATCGCGAACTCGGCTCGCGCTTATCGATTATGCATTTGCTGGTAACAATGACTGGCGTTTTTGTCCCGGCAGCAATCTTTCTCGCTTGTTGCAGTGAACACGCACATGCACGCGGACCACATCACCGGGACCGGTCGGCTGAAGGGCCTGTTGCCCGGCTGCAAGTCCGTGATATCGCGCAGCAGCGGTGCCAAGGCGGACGTGCTCCTGGAGCCGAACGATCAAGTCCAATTCGGCAGGCACCAACTGAGGGTGCTGCCCACTCCGGGTCACACCGAAGGTAAAGCTCTTTCTTCATAAATTCGCCTCTGTTGGCGAACGCATTTCGGAGAACTCGTGCAAGATATCGGAATTTTGAGATAAATCGATATTTATTTAAGTTGAATCGTATCAACACGTATTGAAATGATATAATCACGTTTTTTCATGTTTATATAACATTTTATAGGTTTGTAAAAATTGTGACCTGAACGAATTTTCATACGATGAACGATTAATATCTTTCTTTATATAATTCCTATTTTATAATTCCTATTTTATTATTTACTTCTTTCTTTCGATATTTTTAACGTTTTAAATATTTTGTCATGCTTGTATATATACGGTTCCACTTTGCAACTTGTTAATTTTTAAGATAGAAAGTCGAGAATAACTTGGGGAATCGATACGCGCTTAATCGATGCGCGATTAAAGTGTTATACATAATATTACTGGTGAAATATATAAAACAATGCGTGTGTGTTTTGCCGGGAATGGTTGCTTCTGCTTTCGCCTATTTTTTTTTCGGGCAGTAAAATATTACACCATTGTCCATTTAGCTAGCATCCTACCATCGCATATGTGTCAGTTACATGGAGTGGTAAAATAGAGCACAACGCCGCCCTATAAGGGGCTAAGTGCATAGTGTATCATATTTGATACATACGTGGATTTCAGGCGTTTTCTCGACATGTTCTGTGAGCTATTTCGCGTTTACGATATATACGTATATGATATATTGTCTCGTTGAGTCCACGAGTGAAAAATGAATCTTTGCACTTTTCTTTTTTTTTTTCTTCTCTCTTTATCGTTTTCGAGAATTATTTCGCTCTTTAACGTTTACGTTTAATAGCGAGTGTTTTAAGTCTAGGTTTACTTGAAAGAAATTACTCCGAATTCCATTAAAGCCAAGCTTTTTTCTCTTCGACGCGAATGCCGGTGTACAACGTCGTGTTCTGTAAATCTTCGCGAAGCATTCGGTAAATCCGGTTTAACGCGATTTTTAATGCGCTCGCACGATGAATACGATACGAAACACGACTTTCGGGTATAGCGTAACGAAAGTTTCGGGGCTAATAACGTTGCGGAAAAGTTATGGAACACGTCCGCACACATTTCGCGATGTCGGGGTGCATTTCTTGCGCGATCGATCGCGTGTTCGCCCGGTCTATTATTTTATTAATTGAGGTGCCGAGAAAAAGTAGCGAAATACTTTTCTCGCGAGAGACGGCGACATATATATATTTTTACCACGTGGCTCGAAAGAATCAGAAATATATAATGCACGTCTATTTATCTCGAACGCCGGATCGATTTGATCAACTGCAATTTTTGTTAGAAAGACGCGCGCGTGCGTATTGTTAAGAACTGCATTGAAAAATATATCGTAGACTCCGTGATTTTCGACGTGCAGATTATTCATTGAAGATCCAAAGAAAAGAGAAGATAGAAATATGAGAATTATGATTTTAATCTTTGAGAACTTCGAGAAAAATATTATTAGTAATATAAAGTACTGAGCGATATAGAAAATTTTGTTTTATTTTGACTTAATAGTACATATTGTTAGACCGCAATTTAATATTATTTTATAGAAATTGTTTTCTTACTCTTATACGTTTCAAACGTTTTCCTACAAAAGATTAAAATTTTATCTCGGTATTGCAGCTTTGTCTATTTCCTCATATTCTTCTCCTTTCTTTTTCATTATCTCCAGAAGAAGAAGAGCATGTGCTGCATCGTGTTTTGAATTTTACACGCGTGTTGCGTGTGCGATACAATCCCTAGAGTGATTAACTTGAGCTGTTCTCTATCCAGGATATATCGCAACTGCAATTTTCTGTACTTTTTTCAACACACGTGTTCTTATATTGATATTCTTTTCTATCATTGAGAAAGTCTCACTCAGGCCAGGTTCTTTTATACAGGGTGTCCCGGAATCACCATTGGAATCACGAACTTCTGAATCAGCTCGAATTTTTTCGCTGAATTTTAGCAAAAGAATTTAATAGAGTATTATAATGTCTGCTCATTTATTAACATTAAATTGTATAATTAATCTTTGAATTAAACTGTCACTAAAATAATTTTTACTTTATGCCAAATAGACATTAATGTTTTGTATTTATGTCTGGAAGCGCAAAGAAAAGAAAATTTTCTTTTAAATTTTCTATCTATATGATAATTCGGAAACCATTAATTTTTAGCAGCGATATAAACAGCTTTCTTTTTAGTTTGGTCTCGAACGTTTGTGATATTTAGTAGCTTCGGAACATGTACACATGTATATATACACATATACTGCGCTACTGGGAAAACGGAACGAAAAAAAAAAAAGGAATAAGGTACGGCCATTCTTATCGATCATGCCGATTCGCTACTCGTCGCGATTCAATCGTTTGTCCGAGGAAAATCCTCTGAAAGCGTCTACTGAGCTATCTCGATATCGGGCTCGTTCGATAGGCTCGATTTTTTGTGCCGAATATGGGAATAACGTGTATTAAATACCTGCGGGTTAGATATTCGATATCAACTTCATTTCTATACACCGTAAAACTTCAACGATGCTGATTAAATTCCTAGATATTTCAGCTCTTTCATGGTAAATGTTACCGCATACATTTCGCGAGAAACGGAAACCGGCAAATATTATTTCGTAAAGCAACATGTGTATATTATACGCGTGGGGAACATAAATAATTCTAGCACAATTTAGTTAATGTTACATTATATTTTTTATAGTCATCATCATTGTCCATTGATTTGGTCTTTACAAAATTGTTAAGAAAATAGCTGTCGTAATTCCATTATTGGCAAGTTATCGTACGCGTTTACGCAAAATTTTCCAATTACCTCTCTTGATTTCAAATCACTTTTTATATCTCGGAGGATACGAATCATGTTCATGTTCTCCATGCCGGATACACCTCTATCTGCCGCGTACCAATATTTTTCGAGCGAACGTAATATATCTGTTCGCAATTTCTTTCTTTTCCGCCCTGCCCTTTTTTCCTTTTTCGCCGAATGCGATATCGTAAATGGAATGAACGAGCCGACGAACGACAGCTTAGTTTATCGTGCCGGTCGATTACGGAGCGAATCACCGCGAAGAAATAAATATACATTTGGCTCGAAAATCGGCGCGATGCTTGTCGGATGGCGGTCGGATGAAGTGAAGCACGCGATATCGTAAATATTCCATCTGATATCTGTGCAGGTTGCGTCACGTACGTTTGCGATGAGCAGGCAATCGCGTTCACGGGTGATGCGCTCTTGATACGAGGATGCGGCAGAACTGATTTTCAGGTAAGCCCGATCGGGAAACTCGCCGGAAAAGTCGTGTATCCTTGCGGATACGCGTGGTTATCGCACGTGATCAGTATACCTTCGACCTTCGATCGCACATATGTGCAATTAAATAGAAACAACGATGTTGTATCTTCTTGTTCCGAGGAACGAGAACGTCTGCGATAAAACATTTAATGTAAAGTTTACCTCGTTGTAGTATCTTCTGTGATTATAAAAGAAAAAATTGCGAAAAAAGGGGAAAAATCTGCACTTTTATGCCGTGTGAGAGAAAAACTGAGCATCACGTTTCCCCGCGAAATATCGATTTAGTATTACTCGTGCCATTTCGTTCGACGGTTGTTTTCGTCTCGAAATCTAGCCCTAAATAAAAGCCGGCCAGCAAACAAAACTAACAATTACGCGATCATGTTCAGCGTTAAATGCGCGGTGAGAACGGTCTCGTGAAGTTTCCTCGTAAAGTTGGAAACCGCACTCATGCGCTTTTCTGTACGGGGAATATGCGATCTCCTGCACGCGGTTAATAGGTATTGCATTGCTCTGTTTCTCTCTTTTGCTTTCTTTTTTAACCGGTGACATTTAAAGATGTAAAAATACAGGTGCTGAAATTAAAATTAAAATTGGACTGCAGATTGTTTAAATTTAAAAGTATTCTTTTTTTTAGTAAATATGAATAAATAATATGTATATTTTTTCTTTTAAATTTCAATTTAACTCAAGTCTTGCGACTTGATTTACTTATAGATTTGCAATATTAAAATTTAGAAAATTGAATAAAAGTTACGCAATCGAAATTTTTTTCAAAAGGACTGGTTCTAAAATTTGTCAAATAAAACCCTGCGGACGTGAAAAAGTATGCAATATTTCTGCGCACACCGTGTAGACAGATTGCACGTGACTCATGAAAATCTTCCTAGGATTGATCGACCAGCACTCCCGAGTTCATTGACCCGAGTATTAATTTCAGCCGGCAAGTTTGCTATTTTCTCTTATGCGGTGTGTATCGCGTAATCAAAAAAACGAGCAGCTCTTTTTTTCCCGGGGCGGAAGTGCCGTTCGCAACTTGTCGCCGATATAATTGTCGGATGTCGATAAATTGTTTATTTGGAACGTCATAAACTAATCAACGATCAATGCCGTCCTGAAACAGACGCGGGGCGGCATCCTGAATTCTCGTCGAAGTGTTCGACGGACGCGCGCAATAACATTTTCCCTGCGTGTCGTATGTAGTGCAAGTAAACGTCGATATATCATCGGGGAATATGAAAGACTTCTTCTCCGCAACTCTCTCTCGCGTGATGAATAGCCGTCCGTCATCGTGCTCGACCGCGCGTCGGTGCATTTTATATAAACGTGCCGCGACCTTTTCTTCCCTCGAAAGCTCGGTTTAAATGACGTTTTAACACAGGAAACCGACTAAAATCATTATTTTTGCCTGTGGCGTACTTCAAGCTTCGCTTCATATTTCGTTTTATTACCGGACAGTAAATAACACGACACCGACATTGATTGTATTCCGACGAGTATCAATTTCAACGCGCGAGAATTATTTTCTGCGCTTATAAAAAATTCATTAGGATTGACAGATTTTGTTCAATAAACCCCACAACTTTCATCGATGAAATTAATATAAAATTAAATTTTTTAATCCTTTATTTTCACTCGCAAATTATTCTTTATCGCGCCTTTCATATCGTGTATTACAAGTCTCGTAGCTTTATGACATAATAGCCGTCCGCTCGAATTACTATGCCACCTGTGCGCAGGGCGGATCCGCCACGATCCTGTACAAATCCGTTCACGAGAAGATCTTCACGCTGCCACGAAATTACCGGCTATATCCCGCACACGATTACAACGGCAGAACCGTCACCACCGTGGCTGAGGAGGAAGCCCTTAATCCAAGACTGTCCAAGTCGCTGGAAGAGTTCGTCCGAATTATGAACAACCTCAACCTGCCTTATCCCAAAATGATCGGTAAGTTTAGCAGAGACATTTAATTTACTTTATAACGCAGCCACATCTTCCCTACCGTCCTTACCATTTTATATTCTGTTAACATAATTATTGACTCTTTATAACTCAATTTTTTGTGCTTAAAAAATTATATAATGGGAAACTGACAAACATTAATCTTTGGACAAATTATTAATTAATTTTCAATTTTTAAATTATTATAAAAAAAAAAAAACAGTTTGTAACTTAAAATAAGAGACTACGCTAATTTTGTGGCGAAAAAATAAAATAAGAAAAATTTGTAGATGTATGAGTGTGTTACATGGCTTATAAAGGGTTAACGTAAAATTTATATTGAGAGATTTGATACAAATATCATTACAAAATCTAGTTTGTTAAGTTAGCGCGTGTTCCGTCATCGTCGACTCATTCTTGTCGTAAAATGTTTTCGCAATCTGCCTCGTATTATAAATTCGGATCTTAGAGGTTGTAGACTCAGGCGGTACACGGCGCCCTTGATAGCGATCGGAAATAATTTATGTATTGATGGAAACGGGGCTGTTGTGTTATCTACGAGGCGTTATCCAAATGGTTCTCTCGAAGAAGCCATCAGGCGGTTGCACGACTCCCATCGGGATTCGCATTCTATTTTTGGGGTTGCGCGCGCTCCGCCGCTATCAGCTCGATCCTCTGATAAGCTAATAGCCCCGTCTTTGGGGCGTTACGGCGTTCGTCCTACCTATCGGTACAGTCCGGGAAGCGAATGCTGAATCCGCGAGAAGATCACGTCGATCGAACGAGGCGCCTGATCGCGTAGCTTCTTCTTACGCGATAAAAAGTGAAAACTCCTCTCGAATTCCGCACAAATTTGCGGGAGTGGCGGACGCGTAACTTTTTTTCCCCGCGCTTGAATCGATTGAATGGGATGTGAAGCGAGACGCAAAGCGCGAGTTAAGCGAAAAACTCCGCTGACAGTTATGTGATTGACGTAAGAGAAGGAAATGATGAAAAGAATCTCTCGTGGAGGTTGAATGAATTAAAAAAAAGATTTCGCGCGAATCCATTTTGTGAGGCTTTCAAATTTTCAATGTTCAATATCAGAAATCGGTTTCGAGGTATTGAATCGTTCTTACGAATCTCTCTTTTTTTCCGTTTTCATCCCATTGATTTGACTCTCACGCGACGCGATCCTAAATTGAAGGAAAATTGACGGATATGACTTCACGGGGAGGAATATTTGCAGCTACTGTGCCGTCCTCGCGTAACTCATCTTCTTCGCGGCGCGTCTAAATATTAAATGTGAGCAGAGACGCCGTTACATCCTGCCGATGGGGCGAAAGAAAATCGATGAAATTGCCAGTTTACATCGTCGCATGTTGAATAAATGAGCCCTTTATCTCGCAGACGTGGCTTGAGTCAAATTTTGAAAATTGCGTTATAACGAATTGCGAAACAACACTAATAAAAGAAAGAATTATTGAAGTTAACTACTTCACCTAACGAAGAACAATTGTCGTGTCGACGGCAACGAGTGTTATATATGTGTAAAGTGTTGTTAGTCGAGTTGGAAATAGATAGAAAAATATTAGATTATTGCTCGCATTTGACATGTGCCATTTTTGCGACAAAGAGCGTCGAATATAATACGACGTTGTTTCAGATAAAGCTGTACCGGCCAACAAAGTTTGCGGTCTGTACGAGGTGGAAGAAGAAAAGGGCGAACAATGAAAATTATTGACAGCGCTGCAGCCGATGCACTAGCACGCTAGTATTGTAATTCTCCTCGCACTCTATTAATAATGCATGTGGTCCCGATAGCTAACATTCATATGTCACGAATAGCGTGAGTATCCCCGATTTTAACGCATTTTATTATCGGTATTATTAACATTATAAATGAAGAATAATCACATATCTTGTTAGTTTTTAACGAACAGTATTCAAGAGCGATGTAAGGCACGTGATATTATGGTACACGGTAATTTTTAATATATAACCCGTGTACAGCATTGATATCGTTGAATTATTTTCCTCCACTCCATTTTGCATATACGAGCTCGCGACGTTATTTATTTATATTTATATCCGCGCTATTTTAGCGCATTAGAATCCACCTAAAAATTTATACGTTAAACGGGACACATGTGCCATCCTCTTTTCACACGCTCAAATATTTTATTTAATTATGGCACTTTGTTTGCATGCTTTCTCGGACTAGTGTTTTATGCATCGTAACGGTAACATAACCGATAACGCGTATCAAATGAGCGCTTTATTTCATGTGCGCGTTTTAATGGATTAAAACGCGCGTTTTATGCGTTTATTTCATGTTCTTTGAGGAATATGACCTGTATAAAACGTACGACCGAATGACGGAACGTTGTACAACGTTCTTAATGGACGTAATTTTGTTTACGATAGAAATAAAATTATATTACGCAATTGTTAACGTTCCACATCCGACGTAATACGTGACATATAGTTGTTAAAAATTTTTTTCGACAAATGTTCGCATTCTCGTTACAATTTATCAAGAAATTTATGCGCGGATAATTCCTCTTTCTCCCCGTAGTATATACGTTTCCAGAGTTACAGCGTAATAATTTACGGACAATATGTCTCTGAGGGCTCTCAAGTAGATTTTTCCCTAATGGAAATTTTTCCACTAGGCTTAATTAATTACCGGGATATTCCGCTAATTTAATTTCAGGGACTTAAGTGAATGAACAAAACTTCGTGCTGTGATTTTCGGGTGAGCTTTGTTTCAAACTTTTAGACCTCCCCGCCGAAGAAGCGTAATGCTGGGAAAACGTAAACGAAGGTCGCCGGACGAGTGAAGCAATCGGTCGAGATATTTTTCACTGAGCTCGGGGCACCGCGCGTTAAAATATTCTATGCATTTAGGATTGTCATCCTTTCGACCGCGTCGCGACGTCGCGACGCTTGCTCGAGGTCTCCTTCTCTCTCTTGAACTACCAAGTTCGCCGTAACACTTCAATTTCACGAATTACATCCGTCCTGAGTTATCACTTACTTTGTAGGACTTGACAACCGCGCTTCTTTAACACAGTTCCCGTGTGACAAATTTTTTTTATATGACATGCTTTTCACGTGTCGATAAATTTAATGGAAGAACTCTCTTTTAGACCCGCGCGCAGACCTCTGGATCGAATGGAAATCTCCGGTAATTGGTTCAAACTCAAGCGCTGTCAGACTTCTTCAAATATTATAATGATAGCGGGCCATTATCTCGTCATTTACTTTAAACTATATTTACTTTAAATCTTCAAATAATCACCATCGCCACTCTGGACACTATCATCGCACACAATCGCAGCAGATAATCCCGCCGATAATCTCGACTGAATATTCCAATTATACTCGCACAGAGTCGACACTCTCGCGCCACGATAATGCAATCCACGTGTAATTAGGAAGATCCGCAAATCCATCATCTACTATGAGGATCGAGGGGCTATTTGCAGTTTGCGGTGCGCTAACAATAACTTTCGGGCCGGAGCAATCGGGCCGAGAGGTACATACAGTTTCGCAAATTAGCGAAACAGAGATGATTGAGACTAGCGATAGGAAGGTAGAAAGAGATAAGGAGAGAGAGAAAAGCGCTTATTGCTAGGTCCTAGGACAAACCCTCGAAGGGACTCGGACAAGAGAGAATGAACGGCGTTCATTCGCAAGCGGGGGAGGAGAGAGAAAGAGAGAGAGAGAGAGAGAGAGGCCCTTGTAATCGGGTTGTCGAAACGGGCTCCGTGCGCCTCGTCGAAACTCAGGGTGAAGAGACCCCCATGGTGCTGGTGCTGGTTTCCTACTGCATAGCTGAGGGTTGAAATCGATACCGTTTCCAGGGTAACCAGTACGGCTACGGTGCCCGACACACGGGCGAAGGCACACGGGCCAAGGCTACCTACTCATGCATTTTCATGTGCCCGCCGAAAAAGGCCAAAGACAAGAGCGTTGTTGGCTCGCTTGATGTCGGTACTCGCTCACTCGCGCGAGCGGGGCGAGTCGCGCGATCGAGTGACGAGGAGAATTCTCTGATCCTGGCGAAAATTTCAAAAGAATTCAATTTTCCAGAAGCGCGCTCTTCCGGCTTATCCGCGAGCTCTCTCGGCAAAAAAATATAATACGATATGTACATTTAGTAATTTAATTTTTAATGGTATAATCACGTTCTTCCTTCCCTCGCAAATTTGCCTTATGCTCTTTCATATTGCGGGATTGCGGGAACCGAGAATCATAATAAAGTGCGGTAAAATAAAAGTCGCTTTCCTTTCAGCCGGATTGTTTTTTGTTTGGATCAGTGAACTCGTTTCGCGGTGAATTTTTTGGGCCGAATATCGGAGTCCGTATAACTTCGGGTGTTCGGATTTATTTTTCGATTATGTAGGGGCGAAAAAAATATATATACCGCACAGATCCGTCACGTTTTCATTGCCAGGGTTAGAACGAGCTATTTTCGTGCGCTTGTGATATTTGAACTCACCTTCACTCGACTTGTATGTCTAATTCTAGAGCTATGTAATTTTTTATAAGGCATATTTCGTTCTTGCTCGTATTTGTGATCTCTTGCTTACGGTAAAAATGTTAATTTATTACGTATTACATTACTCATTATTCATTGAAGAAACAAAAGAGAAATATATAGCCGCAAAAGCTCATTTCGTAAAAGATTAAGATTTTATTCTAAATTTAACAACATATATATATATAATATACATATAGCATATATCCACATTTCTTCGTTATTTGTTTTACATCTTTTCTCTTTATCTTCAATCTATTGTTAATGATATCTAAATTATATTAACAAATAAGATTTTAGTTCCGCAATTAAAATAAGCAAGATATTGGGCAGCTAATGGATAACAAAAGAAACAAGCAACAGTATTTCTTTACGTCGTTCGCGATAGGGTCCCCGTTATCTGGGGCGGATCCGCAAACGCACCTGCCCCATTTGTCCGCGTTGGAAGATACCGCGGATTGTCCGTCGCAATTTTATCGCAAGGACGGCCCTCACGGTGTTATCACTGAAAAATGGCCGCGCTGCTGTTGCGAGAGGAGAACGGACCACCCTGTTCGGAAATTTAATGCGTTACTTTGCGCGGCGGCACCCTTTCTGCTCTCATTTCGTTACCTTTCCCGCTTTCATCACGAAGTGCGGCCCCTTCAAGAAACCGCAATTTCGAAACACCGCGGTCTTTGAAGACCCGCGACCGTCTTCACGGCTCGGTAATTATCGTCGAGGGAACGGTATTAGAGCAGCTCTCTCTTTCGCTCTCCTCCTTTCTATCATACTTTCCATCAGCGTGAGATAACATATGGAGAGAGAGAGAGAGAGAGAGAGAGAAAAAAAAAAGCAGAAAATAAAACCAGTGTCACAATTTACGAGCTCGTAATTGATTCTGAAATGCGGGATTCCCCGCGGCCGCGTTAGCGTATTATTTTCAGCGCCGCGTATCGCGACGCAGCTCTGCGAGCGCGATACGTCGAATGGCAAAATTACTATTTCGACGCGCGGAGCCAATTACCGTAACTAACGATGTGTTGTAACGATTGCATGTAGTTACGCACGAGGGGATCGATTAAAAACATCGGTTTTATTTTTCGGTTACGACCACTGTAAACAACGTTATGTTTATTTAACCGCGTTTTGCAAAAAATTTAGAAGGTAGGTCGCGGTCGGGTGATTGTCAGCCGCTTCTCGCGCAAATGTGGTCATTTAATTAATGGCCGTTCGCGTAATCGCGGGGAATATAAAAACCATATGAATGCGTAATACAAAGGGAGATATAGAAAAAAAAGTGTAAAATGTGTTAAAAATTTAGACTTTAAATCCGAGCTCTGGATTATATATACATGTATTTTTCGAGCGGACATGTAACGTATTTCAGTCCGAACGTCATTTTTAACTTGTAAAGCAAGTTGTGAAAAAATCCGGGCTTGGATTTAAAAAAATTATTCTTCGGCGAAATGCACTTTTGGTTAACGCTCAAAGCTGACCGACGTGGCTGAAATGCTAAATTATATTTTAATATAAATTAGCGGAAAGAGAGCGCCGCCACATCGTAATTCGCCATTTCCGAGCGCTGCTTCGCGATTTGTGTTTCGTTGCAGAGGAAGTCTGGATAAAATAGTTCTAATTGGCGATACGCTGTCGCTCTTTTTGGATTATTGTACAGAAAACTATTGTACAATTGTATTGGATTGCTATTCTACAATAGAACGCATTGTAGAACATTTGATAACCGGAGTAAGCTTAAAGTTTCCGTCAAAATTTGTAATCCAGCCGAGCCGTTCTTTTTCCTATCTCCCCATAGAATTAAACATTTCGGTAACTAAATCTGGAAAGTCGTATTTTACAAACATAAAATCCGGAAGAACCAAACGTTTTAATCAATTCTGACCTCTCCCGTGGCTTAATTCGCTGAAGCCCCTGGTAATCGTTTTAACTCGGAAACCGTTAACGCGCAGCATTTTTACGAAGAGAAATCTCCTCCCGTTACCCCGCGTGTACAGAAGGGAAAATTTCGTTAAGGCAGCCAGTTGATAGCAAACGCGAATGGCGTGCAAAAAGCGCGAATTTAAGAAGATGTGACGAGAATCGAGGACTTTTCGCCGTCTCTCGTCGGAGAAGCGACTCCCCGTCGACGCGGTCGTGTCGAACAAAACATTTTCCTCCCTCTATATAAAGGCGAATTTTGCGAGAGTGTTCGCAGTCGCGCACACGTGATCCCGAATTGTCGAAGAATATTTGCACGGTTTTCTCGTCGCTCTTACTCCCCTCGAGTGGTGCTCCATAGAACGGTAACATGATTTCTTTGTTACCTTATTGCCGTAGCGATAGCGGCAGCCGGGAGTTCGTATCTACAGGTTGTTGATTTTGCCATGGATGCAGACATTTCAACTTCTGCTCCGCTGCACCCTCTTCTTTCGCCCCCCGCCCCCCTGTCTTCCACGTGTCCTCTCTTCTTCCTTCATTGTCGTCCCCCGTCACT